GGGTTTGTAAATGCTGTGTGTTATAAGGCTGTGGATCCAGACTGTGCTGATATCATTAGATAGCTATGTCTCAAGCTAGATAGTTTGATCACACAATCAATTAAGATGCATAGGTGGTTGATCCTTTCTACTGTGTAAGTGAGCAATACTTTGTAGGGACATTTAATAGTCACAGTTCTATTTTTCCTTCCTACTTCCTTTTGACAAGGGTGACTAGCCACTAGAGACTCTTACTACTGAATTATAGTGTCTCTTATGATAAATCCACATACATAATATATACAGTACTTACGTAGTTCAGGATCCTGTCAAGCTCTGTTTGTTTGCTGCAAAGCTTTATTTTATGGATTTTTTTTTCTCACATTTCATAGTGTGCAGAATGTTTGTGTGTGTATTGTCTTGCAAACAGTGGGCTCCTTAATTGTCTTGTTACAAAGTGGGTTGGTATTGTATAAATAGTGTGGTGGGAGTAGACCATGAGTGGAATATCAGGATTAAAATGGTACTCTGTACTAGCAGAGAGTTATACTCTGAGTCTCAGAAAGGATAGAAGACTGTCTTGTCTAGTTCTGATATTGAGGTCAGATTAAAAGAAGAGGAGCTTTTTTAAATGCTTTTATCTTATGGCTGCTACTCCTGATAGTGCGAACCTGTTTTCTATAATAGATTTACTACTTTTTTCCTGCATGCTTGTCTTCAATGGAAGCTCATTCGCTAGATTCTCTCTGTACAAACAATGTTAAAAACTGATTTTACACTAATGATTAAACAAAAGAAGCTGTAGATTTAGGAGCCATGCTACATCCTAATCTGTATTTTGCAGTAACATTGGATCCAAGGTATAATGCTTTTACAAAATGACAAAGCACATACCACTGGAATTAAAAGTAAATACATGCTAACAAAACATCAATTTCTGGTAGTTCAGGTGGGTAGCTGCGTCAGCATGCGTAGGCTGCAAAGGAACAAGTAATAGGCTTATTCCATGCTGAAAAAAGAAGAAAGAAAACACAATGTTTCAGCCGTGGAGCCTTCTTCAGGTGTGGAAGAATCATATCATATCATATCAGAAACAAAGCCAGGTTTCTTCAGTAGTGATGTGATGCGATGTAAAGCTTTAGGGACCACACCCATGGAAAGGGAACTGTTGTGCTCCCCTGGAAATTCTGGAAAATTTGACTTATACCCATTTAGCTCTATAAATGTTTGGTGGAGTATACGCCATTGTTAGGGACATCCTGAGTACATTCAGTTAATGATGCAGCTGAGTTTCAAACCTGTGATATCTTGGTTGTATAGCTCAACCTGCACTCTTGGCAGGTTCCTTTATACTCGGAACTACTCCCACCCCCAAAACATACACACACACACAAAACATTACATTTATTTTACTGTTAGTGCTAAACAGCAGAATAATAGCCCTTCGCTGAAGAATAGTATCCTTTTGTTATGAGGCAAAAAATATGAGGCAAAATTCCTCACATCAGAATAATTGATTTGGTATATTGAGCTGGTCTTGGGAATTCAAGACTGCCTTTCTTTAGTTATTTGGTATATATAAAAATAATGCTTGAGAGGAAATACAGTGCAGCAAATGGCATAGTGAGCTGGTATTCTGAAGATTAAGAATTTACTTGCTCTGTGTTTGTTGTTTATAGAGTGCTTTCTTTGAAAGTTATGTAAAGGTACTAATTGGTTACTTATCTTTTAGTTTTTCATAAAATGCTGCTTTATCTCCATATTTAGAGGAACTGTTTAATTGTTTTTTCAACATTTATTATTTATGCATTTTATATATACATTTATAGGATCACTGTTAACATGCTCTGTGTTCTTTTTTTAACTATAGTGTTTTAATAAATATGTTGAGAAAATGAAAATGTGTAGGTTGAGTGGAATATCCGAGGTAATTTTTCATTTTTCACAGCACAGTAATGGAGCTATCCATGGGCCTCTTCTATTTTTTCTGTCTCTTTCCAGGATGTGGAATCAATTTTGACTGAATCATGACTCAATGATGATTCCCTCCTTGTAGGCATTAACATGATAGAACTTAGTACTTGTAGTATTTTACTGTTTTCTTTCTTAATTTGTGAATTATTTATTGTTTTTTGGTAAAGTCACACCCCTTACAGTACTTAAACTGCTGTTACGTAATAATTTCCTCCACCTAAAAGATTCCTAGAGTACCGAGATGACTTCAAATTTATAATATATCATTGCATGTCAAGTTTGTAAGGGAACAGACAACAGTCAGTACTATTTATTATTACTATTAATATAGGCTGTCTGCATTGATAGTAGTTTTCTACTTATTTAAATCACATGTACTACAGGACAAATTAAATATTCTACCTAAAATTAAAAATCAGACATTATTTAACAAGTATACTTTCATCTATTGCAATATTATGTAGTACCATGACACGTATTGAGAAGGCTATTGGTACACAATATGTGTACCAGTACACAAAATGCAAAATGTAATTTATTAAAATCTAGATATGGCTAACAAAATATTTTACACAATGAATTTTTAGATCATATAGCATTTATTGAAACAAAACAAGATTCCCTGTAATATTATGTTGCCCTGGATGACTTTTCATTATAAAAACAGATGTCAGGCAAATTGTTTTCCTTTCCATAGTGTACCTTGGGCTGTTAATCAACTGTGACATTTGCTGCTTTTTCATTTGCTGTACATTTAAAGCATTTTAATTTCAAATATAAATGTCTGTTCTTTCCAGCTGAGCACAATTCTTGAAAACCTATTTCTAACAGGGATGAAAGTCTGAAGCTTAGACTGCAAATCCTGCACTTTATGAAATACAGAATGAACCAAAAGGCAATAAAATGAGCAGTGGGCCAGTGAAACTACTTATTTAATGGCATACTAGAACTGTACTGCATTCAAAATATATTTTTTACTTGGTTAATGGAAAGAACACATGCTATAGGGGAAATATTTTCTAATTTTATAATTCTTCAAAAGCTTCTTTCTGGTTTAGAGAATGGTCATATTTTCTATCATGGCTGGTGTTTGCAATATTATTTTTTACTTTGCTGCACAATTAACATATAACTTGACACTATTAATACTGAAACTGGATTAACCATGCTTGTGCATCAGTATTTTTTTATTTTGCCCCCTGTTCCTCCACCACACTCACGTCACAGCCGGTTTGCTAATTCTGCATACAGTTAATAGTACTGTCTCTATAGCACAAGGTGGTCTGGACTAATGAGCAAGCAGCATTTTGTATTACTACTGTATTTCAGTGTTGAAATGTTGTCATTTTATGACTACAATCACAAGTCACAAAATAGAATTGTAAAATGTTTTACATTGGCCAATCCCAAGAGCTCCAGAAATCCCCCAAGGAAGGACTATCATTGTTAAAATATAAAAGATACAAAGTTTATAGATGTTGCATTTACATTATGCCATTATTACCTTGGCAGACACTTTTATTCCAAGCCATCTATAATGTCATCCAGTCAAGGGTGCATCTAGCATTTGCGTAGAAACCACAGAAAACAATAAGAATAGCATTCATTAATGTGCTATGATGTTGCAAAGTGCTGAGGAGTTTTAGTCCTACTTGACAGAAAGCAGTAATATAAGTTCATAGTAAGTGATGGTTAGTCACAAGCCTCTGGGATAAGGTATACCATGGATAAATTATTGAGTTTTTTTCTGGAAGATAGCAAATGAGCCCACCGTTTTTACTGTGGATGATAGGTTGTTCCACCAGACTTTTTGTTTATTGGTATATTTACCTCAGTGAAAATGATAAATCGTTAATAAAAATGCTCATCATCCTAGCCTTACTCTTCGGCATGTCACAATGATCCTAATTTACTCACTACTTTACACTCATTACTTGAAATTCTGTTTCTATAATTTATGCACCACACATCTTAGTTTTACTAAATGTAATGATTTTGTTTATCCGGGTGTAATCATCATTAGTTTTTTTTTTCCCCCTGAAAAGAAAAATAGCTATCGTTTAATACCACATCACCATCTGCTGGCCTGAAGTGGTATTGTCTGTCATCTAGTGAGAAAAAAAATAAAAATCTATTAAAAATTAAATTGTAATGAATGTCTGTTACAGGAAATAAGTAATATATTTTTGACTGAGTACATATATATTCTGATCACATTTTGCAGCTGTAATCATTTCTTTGTACTGCAAATTGCATTTTCTGAATATTAAAACGAAAATTGAGTTATATTGGTAGAGAGATTTTCAGTTTATCATCTTCACTGTTATTGTTTCAATTAAGCTAATAATTATGTTACTGTAGTTTTTTTTTATACCAAATTATGGTAAATCAGCATTTTTTAATGTTTCTGAATTTTCCATTTTGAGTATCTCTGTTCTTAAATGCATTCAAGCTAAGCAACTTGAGAAGTGTCTAATATTATTTTAGTGCACTGAAACAACATCTTTGGGTTTAATCTGAATATTGACAGAAACAACCTCTTTTTGTGAATCATTTGGAGAAAATATATTTTTTTCTATACACTGGAGATTGCACAGAAAAAAACAGCTTTTTTCTGCAAGGTCAATGGTTGACTAGTAGGTAGCTCTTCCCTCTGTACCTGAATTTCTAAACTAATTCCCCAGTATGGTGCCCAGTAGGCAGTGCTGCCCTTCAGATAAACCAATGCCCTGACTTCTTGGCCATGAAAGATCCCATAGCACTATTCTTCAGAGCATGACTGTCAACCTTGGTGTCCTGGCTAGAGTTCTCTATTGTCGTTATTCATTATTATTGTTATCCATCCATTTTCTAACTGCTTCATCCAATTCAGGTTTGCAGGGGGGAGACATAATAATGATAACAACATTTATACATAATAAAATAGTGACTAGTTCAATAGAAAATAATTACAGAAAATGGAAATAATAGCCATCACGTTTTGTGCTGTACATTTGTATACTGTGTACATATATATAATTATATATAAATTGTTTTTTTTTTTACAGCCAGGAATGTATCTACGAATTTATAACCTCCATGCAAAATTACAGGCTTCAGGAACAAAAGAACAAACTTCAAATGAGTGTCATCTGGGATTTCACCTTCATGGAGGAACTTCTTATGGCAGAGGGATTAAAGTCTTACCGGAGGACAGCAGTGACGTACAGGAACTAAAGAAGTAAGTCTTGGTTTGATTCATTATTTTGGGGTTTTTTTTTTCAGTTTTTTTTTTCAGCAAGGCTACAGTTCTTAGAACATCATTTAATATGCTACATAGGCTTGTTTCTGAAAAACATCAAACTGTAAAATTAAATAATAAGATTTTGTTACTGAAATAATGGATGACTTTTCTGGATGAACTTGAAAAGTGAGATATTTTTATATATACTGAGACAATTTGCAGATTTGTTTTAATCAAAACTTAAAAGACACATTATGTAACCTTGTACAACCTTGTTATTTCACTTTGGGGAAAAAACCTTTTCACCTTGTATTCAAAGTTGTGGTTTTGAATACTATAAAGGATATATATGGTGATGAATCACCAAGAGATAATAGTACATTTGAACATGTTGATCTACATCTATAGAGAAAGCCTGAAGCTACATTTGTGCATTTCTCTTACAGTGCAAGACTGTTGATATAAGACGTTACATAGGCTTTGTTAAATTCATACATTTTTAATTTAATTTGCCACCACTCTGCTTCCCTGCCTCCCTCTGTTTGAAGTTGTTAGATGATGATCAACTCACCTTTACCGCTATGACCAATTAACCATCACTTATGTTCTGAAATGCACACAGGAGTCACAAAATGCTTAAATAAGCCTTGATTAAGGCTACAGTTCTAGCTTTCAGTTACTGGATTGCAAGCTCACGGGCATGCTGTAGGTCACAGAAGCCACTGTTGCAGACAGGCTTGGTTACACTGGTTACAATACAATTCTGCCCAACAGGGGTTGGAGATTTTCCCACATAAACCCAAAGCATGATTCCCTTTTCATCATGAATAATTGAAAACAATTGGCTCATCTTCCATTTTTAGTTTAAAAGAATCAAGCTGTAGATAAATTCTCACTTTATCAACTTTATTTTGTGTTTTTTTCATGGTTCATTTATATTCTGCCTGGAATATCCACATTATGTATGCTTTCTCACCTGCCTGTCTTAATCTAGAGTTGTGAGAAAAGGTTTGTGAATCCTTAGGAATTACATGGATTTCTGCATGAATGGCCACTAAAATGTGATCTGATCTTCATCTAAGTAATTATAATATATAAAGACAGTCTTAATTAACTAACAACACACAAAACATTTTACATTTCCATATTTTTATTATAGCCAGCAGCCTTATCACCCTGTAAGTCACAACTGGCAACCCACTGAAGCTAAGCAGGTGTGAGCCTGGTCAGTACCTGGATGAGAGACCTCCTGGGAAAGCTAAGGTTGCTGCTGGAAGGGGTGTTAGTGGGGCCAGCAGGGGGCGCTCACCCTGTGGCCCATGTGGGTCCTAATGCCCCAGGATAGTGACGGGGACACTATACTGTAAACAGGTGCCGTCCTTCGGATGAGATGTAAAACCGAGGTCCTGACTCTCTGTGGTCATTAAAAATCCCAGGGCGTTTCTCGAAAAGAGTAGGGGTGTAACCCTGGTCCTGGCCAAATTTCCCATTGGCCCTTACCAATCATGGCCTCCTAATAATCCCCATCTATGAATTGGCTTCATTACTGCTCTCCTCCCCACTAATAGCTTATGTGTGGTGAGCGTTCTGGCGCACTATGGCTGCCGTCTCATCATCCATTTGGATGCTGCACATTGGATGTGTTGGAGGGGAGTCCCCATTACCTGAAAAGCACTATACTGTGTAAGCAATAATTATTATTAAACAAATGTTTTAAACAATCAAGATCATTGATGGAAAAAGTATATGAACCCTTATATTTAGTAACTAGTGGAACCTCATTTATTGGCAATAACCTCAACCAAACGCTTTCTGTAGCTGCTGATGAGACCTGCGCAGCGGTTAGGCCCAATCCTCTATACAAAACTGTTTCAGTTCATGTATATTTTTAGGATGTCTTGCTTGAACGGCCTGCTTCAGATCACATCACAGCATTTCAATGGGATTAAGGTTAGGACTCTGACTTGACCATTCTAAAATAAGGAATGTCTTCTGTTTGAACCACTTTGTTGTTGATTTACTTCTGTGTTTTGGATCATTATCATGTTGCATGACCCAACTTATTTTGAGTTTTAGATCACAGACAGACGCCCTGACATTCTGCTGTAGAATTTCCTGATACAACTTGGAATTCATGGTCCCTCAATGATTGCAAGCCAACCAGGCCCTGAGGCAGCAAAGCAGCCCCACACCATTATACTCCCTCAACCATACTTCACAGCTGGGATGAGGTTTTGGTATTGGTGTGCAGTGCTTTTTTCCCATCCAAACATAGCGATGTGCATTTCTGCCAAAGAGTTCTACTTTTGTCTCATCTGTCTACAGAACATTGTTCTAGTAGTGCTGTGGAACATCCAGGTGGTCTTGTGCAAACTTGAGACGTGCAGCAATGTTTTTTTTTGGGAGAGCAGTGGTTTCCTCCGTGGTGTCGTTCCATTAACGCCATTCATGTTCAGGGTTTTTCTGACAAGTTCAAGATATTTCTGCAGGTTTGCTGTTACCCTAGGGTTCTTTTTCATCTCCCTCAGGATTGCATGCTGTGCTCTTGCTAGGAGACGCCCACTCCTAGGGAGTATAGCAATAGTACTGAATTTCCTCCATAGTAGACAGTTTGTCTTACTGTGGATTGATGAACACCCAGGCCTTTAGAAATGCTTTTGTAGTCTTTTCCAGCTTTACGCATCTCTAAAATTCTTCTTCTAAGGTCCTCTGATATATCTTTTGATCGGGGCATGGTTCACATGAAAAGCTCTTTCTTGAGAAGAGCAGACTCTGTCAGTAACCAACTTTTGTGTGCCTTGTTTATAGGGAAGGGCACCTCCAACCCACACCTCCAATCTTTGGAACACCTGACTCCAATTAGCTTTTGACAGAAGTCATTAGCCTAGAGCTTCACATACTTTTTCTAACCTAGACTGTGAATGTTTAAATGATGTGTTCACTACCTACTGTACAAGAAGAAGTACAATTGTTTGTGTGTTATTAGTTTAAGGAGATTGTGTTTCTCTATTATTGTGACTTAGTTGAAGATCAGGACCATATTTATATGAGTAATTAATGCAAAAATCCAGGTCATTCCAACGGGTTCACAAACTTTTTCTTGCAATTCTATCTGATATGAGGAACTTTATTAAAAGCCAGCTGAAAATCTAAATTTACCATGTTTATATGCTCTGCATGTATCCATTACTGTGGTTACTTATTTAAAGAATTCTAACAAGTTCATAAGGCGAGACCTTTTATAAATGCAAGATGACCATTCCATAGGTTCTTTCCATTCCAAGTTATCTTCTTATTCCATTCTAATAATTGCTTCCACAACCTTGCATGTAATAGAAGTAAGACTTTTTTATATATAATTTCTTTGGTCAGTTTTGTTTTGTCTCCTATCTTCAGGATGCATAATATTAGATCGTAAATTCTTCTGTTCATAGCTACCACCTCTTGCTCTTGTCTTTCTAGTTCATGTGCTTTCATTCTTTAGAAAACATTTGATTAAAAAGTAAGTACATGTTTTGGTGGGAACATATTACACAGTATGGGAGAGAGATCTGTTAATTATGTGCTTCAACAAAAGTAGATTTTTTTACCTTTGTGATGTATTAATTTCTTTTTTGAAAAAAATAGCTGCATCTTCTTTGTTGCTCCTGTCAGGGCACTAGAATCTGCTAATCCTGAGGACACCATGGATGATTTAACATTATTAAATGCGTGTTGTACTTCAGGTGAGCTTTCAAATGTGATTCTCTATGTTGCTGTTCTGATGACAGTGATGGCAGTGCTGGACATATCTTTTGAAATTCCTTTCCAGTATCCAAGGTGCTAATGTTTTATAGGTCCCAATTTAGTGGACCATAGTGTGAAATTAAATAACAGGTTTAAGATATGTTGTTTTAAATAACTGGTAGAAATCACAGGAGGTCTAAGTAGTCTTGAATGAAGAGGAGAATGACTGGATGGGGCCACACAGTGGTGCAGTAGTTAACATTGCTGCCTGGCAGTGCTGAGGTCTTGGGTTCAATTTTGGACAAAGTGCTACCGGCGTAAAGTTTGTATGTTCTCCCTGTGTTCTTGTGGATTTTCTCTGAGTACTCCAGTTATCCAACTCCATTGGGCCCCTGAGCAAGGCCCTTAACCCCAACTACTCCAGGGGCACCGTATAAATGGCTGACCCTGCGCTCTGACCCCAAGCTTCTCTCTCCCTGTCTGTGTGTCTCATGGAGAGCAAGCTGGGGTATGCAAGAAGACAAATTCCTAAAGCAAGAAATTGTATATGGCTAATAAAGTGATCTTCTTCTTCCTTCCACAGTGTAAAAACTTACTGGTAGGTTAATTGGCTTTAGGGAAAATTGGCTCCATAGTGTGTGGGTGTGGCCGTCTGGTTTTGTGTCTGTCTGCCTTGTGATGGACTGACGTCTCATCCAGGGTGTACCCTGCCTTGTGTCCGTTGCTTTCTGTATAGGCTCTGGCTCCCCTGTGACTCTCACTTGGAATATTACAGTTAAAAAAAGGATGGATAAAAGATGTATGTACAAGTAGAAGTGGAGAGAAACTTCTATTTTTATGTAATTTCTTTTTTTTGTTGTTTAAGCCATTGAGAACTCATTAAATGCTGAGTTATCACCTTATCAGGAAGACCCTTTAACAGGTATGGAATACTACAAAACGTTCATAGCATAATAAATATATGTAATACAACACAACTGAAATACAGTTGAGAGAAGCAGAAGAGATATAAGAACATTTCCCAAAAAATGGGAAGCCTTTGCCATTTGGATTTAATTAAATTCATGATGATTTGATAAAGAAAACAAACATTATTGAAGATAATTTATAAGTCCCTCATATTCTGTGTTGTATAGTAAAACCTTCCTGTTCAGACAGCTAACAAAACCATTGACACTTCTAGAATTAGTTAAATAGTAAAAACTTACATGTTGGCATTCTTGTCTTCCAGAATGCAAAAGTGAATAATTTTCTTTATACATTGTTTACATTGATTAGTTTATTTTTTATCTTTATATGTGGGTTTGCAGTACTCACCTGTCATCACACAGTGAAGTCGGACCTGCTCAGCAATGTAAAGAATTCCACGCCTCCACAGAAGTTCCATATCAAGGCCAAGCTTAAATCCTATCAACCAGACAAGCTCTATCAGTCTGTAAAACTTTACTGTCCCAAATGCAAAAGAGTGTAAGTTCAAATGTGTTCTAAATATTTTAACAGTCTGGAAAACTTTTTATTTTACTTAGATGGGGATATAAAACAGTAATTGCGTAATATTGATTTGTTTACAGTTATGTCCACATGACATGTCCAATGGAACTCCAGATACCACACTAATTGAGACCATGTATAAGTACATGGTTAACATTAACCTCCCAAAACTCAATCTGCTCAAAAATCAAAGTAAAACAAATTGTGATCAATTAAATCAACATGGGCATGGCTTGAATCAAGACAGCTGCAGAGGCAAAATTTCTGATAAGACTTAACAGAAATGACATTATATATAGGTGTTTCACTTCTTTTTTGATCAATTATGAGACAGTTATCCTGTGTTTATTATCATATTAATGAACTAACTTTCTTAGTAGGGATTTAGAATGATGTCATTTAATCTTTGATACATCCAGTAGTCATTGCCCAGTTTTCTTGAGAAGACTGAGCAAAGGGTCAACCTTTAATTTTGTCCCTGAGGTGCAAAGCCTTTAAGTCATGCATCTGGAACTCATCAAGTCAGGATGGATAAGGAGATCTTTTATTTATTTTTTTAAAAGAACTTAGCAAGATATTTAAACCATTTTATTCATTAATTTTAATTGAGGGGTGAGTTGTTTTTTAGTCCATGTATCATACCTTTTATTTCAGGAAACTCATAATTTTCAAACATTTAAAACATTTTACCTGCAAACAGTATTACCTTACTATTCACTGAAACAGATGTGCTATGGGGTTTTTGATGTATGTTTTATTTTAAAATGGGATTTAAACCTCCTCTGTAAGTAATGTTGGCTAGCCAGTTTTGATTGAGACTGCATTGGTGTTTCATGACTGTTTCAGACAGGAGATTCCAGATGATGAAACTATTGGGAGTCTGTTTCAAGAGGCTTTAAATCTACCAGTCCTCTCCAGTGATTCATGGTATGAGACATTTCTGTGGGAATCCAGCACCGATGTGGGAAGAAAAGTGGCAGTTCACTTTGTTAATGTACTTGGGAGTGAAGAACATTTATTAACCTTGGTACAAGGTGAGGAAAACAAGGTTTCAGATAACAATGGGGAAGCTTCCATATGTTTTTATCCCATGGTGGTTATTTTTTCACAAACATGATTTTTGTGTATTGCGGGAGAAAAAGCATGCTTCAGAAAAATACAGACAAGTCTCATTTCATTAATAATGATGAAAAACACAGAAAATCCACATCCATTTTCACATTAAAACTCACAGTTTGTGTAAACATGTCTTGCAAGGGAGAATATTTGACTGTTGTCTGAAACACATCCCTATAATCCTAAGTCTCTGTTGGTATGTTGTAATACCAAGTTGGACAGTTTCATTATTATAACCCTGACAGTTATTTATTTGTCAATAATTAAGTGGTGAGATTAGTTAAATATCATTCACTGCAAATAAATTAGAGCCTAAACCTTCAAAGAAGAAAGCCTTGAATGTATACATCTTGAATGTATGTTTTCAGTAACTAATTGTAGGCATGTAAATTAAATAGACCTTTCAAAAGCAATTTTGTCTACAACAACAAATCATTTAACAAAGAGACACAATGGTTTTACAAATCACAGCTTTATTACAAGAAGATATCCAAAGGGAACATTTGGGCATTGTAAGACCCAATCATCTACATGCAGTAGTTAGTGCTCTTTGCACTGAAGCAGCGAATACTCAAATCCATGAATGCACAGTGATTAATGGTGAAGACACCCTTATTGATTACTTACTGATGTATTGATTACTTATTATATTGTTAGGAGCAACTCTAGAAGAAGTCTGTAGACTTTCAACAAAATTTGAAAGCATCATTCCGATAAAATTCTCTGAAGATCAAATGACTTTGCTGGATCTTTCTGCTCCATTTCTCATCCAAGGAAAAAAGTGGTCCTATGGGTATGTAATTAATTTTGATAATCCTCTCAGGAATATAATGGAAGCCAATTGTCTTATCATAAATGTAGGTTTAATATTATTTATAAATCATCTTTGCAGCTTCATTAAAACGTAATCCATTGTGTAGTGTAACTATATGCTTTATAGAATGATTAATGAAGCTTCATTAATGCTTCCTTATCTAGAGAATTATTTTGTAGATTGTTTTTACATTATTTGTGTGTTAAAAATAAGTTAAACAAGTAATTTATGGTTTTATAGGTATCTGTAATTAAAAGTAATTTGGAATCCTATCAGTTTTATTCACGTATTATGCATGTAACAGGTGTCTGATCTATAACATGTTTGTAGAAAGTAATTTTTGTTATTATTTGTAGTTATTTTCTTAAAGTACATTTAAAACATATCAGAAAAATAATTTAAGACTACAGAGTTTTACAGAGTTATAAAGTTAAGCAATTTCTATAATGTAAGTATCAATGTAGACAATACAATACAATAAATGGAATGCAATACAAGTGAAATAATGCATTAGCACTGATATGGGATTGCAGAAATATGGAGCTCTATGGCATTATAATAACAAAAGGCATTAATCAATTGAACAAGTAATGGGTTTATTCCATGCTGAAAAGAGAAGAGAAAAAATACAACATTTCGGCTGTGAAGCCTTCTTCGGGTGTGAAGACCACACCTGAAGAAGGCTTCACAGCCAAAACTTTGTGTTTTCTCTCTTCTCTTTTCAGCATGGAATAAACCTATTACTTGTTCCTTTGCAGACTACGGATGCTGACACAGCTACCCACCTGAACTACTATAAATAAATTGAGCTGCTTTTTCCAGTGAGGAGTTTCAAAATTTCCAGAATCAAAACTTTTAAATGAAAATGGCTTAAATTAATTAATGTAGTGATATGCACGTGATTCCTGTTGTTTTATGAAAGCCTAGTCCATTGTTTGCTGAGATATAAAGTAAATTTGGAACCTTTTCGACTGAATACATGTACTGTATATTGTATGCGACACTAAATAAAATAAAAAAAGGCACTTTTAAAATGTGCTTTATCTTAATGTATTTTAGGTGCAAACACTGTTCCTGTGTCAAGAATATAGGCTTGTATTTAGAGCAGGAGATGGTATGGGAGCCTGAGAATACTGCAGAAGGTACAGTACAATTTCAAATTAAAATGATAGCTATAAACCTGCTATTTACTGTACCGGTACCTACATTTTCTAACTTAATAATATACAGTAAAACAACATCAAAACAATTCCCTAATCTTCATCTTTACACTTTTCTAACAAGCTGGAACAGTTTGAACTGTGATGGTTGCAACCATGTGACTAGTTCATTGTCAAATTGCCAGGATTTTGGAGAACATAACGTTTAAGTTGCATCATCATGGCGATTGGGTTGTATTGTCATGAGCAGGTGTAGTGCGAGTCCTCATGTGGCATGTCCCTCAATGGTTGATCACTCTGGTCCCGTCAGTTGATTTATGGCAGGTGAGGGGGTTTGAGTCCAGACATGCCTCTCCCTTGAATACTCCCCGCAGACTTAGTGGTATCGATTTAGCGACTTCATTAATGGTGGTGTCAGGATAGGCCCAATTTGTTGTTGTCTAGTTTGTGTGTTGAACAGCCAGGATATCCTGCTTAGCAGAGTCACATCTTTGCAACATTTCTAAGAATCTAATTCAAAATGAGTTCTACAATTTCATTTTCAGTCCAAGGCAAGAGAAAAATTATTATAATATTTACAAACGCTTAATTCTAATCATAGCCATAGCCTTTATTCTTTAACAGTTATTCTTTGGCTTGCACTTATATTGATAAGAGGTTTCTGGAGTTGTGCATAGTTCGAGTTAGAGCATTTTCTCTGTATAGCTTACTTTGAAATTGTTCATTTGAAATGTGGGGGAAGAGGAGCTATGCAAATCTTCTCAAGACTTCTTGCAACTTCACTGTAAATTCCAGTGGTTGCAGTAATTTTAAAGTCAGTGGCTCATATGGTCCTGCAGTAGCTAATGGCAATAAATAGGAAATGCCAGATGAGCTACATGCCTCCTCTAGTTTCTTATGTTCATTGGGGTTACTGCTGAACTTAATGTAATACTTAATTATCAGGCAACAGAATTACAGTTAAAGATGTAATTTGGAGAATTAAGAGTTAGGGGAGTCAGGGAATGCATATGTTTTATAAACGTTTCAGATTGCGTTTAGGCAAATTTACATAAAGACATTATTTTTGCATAACTCCTGTCACATGCCCATTATAGTCAGTACTGCAGTCTACTCTGGCTGCAAAAGAACTTTTCTGTCCTCTTCTGCCTTTTTTTTACACTTGCGGGTGTCTATTTTCAAATGTCCTATACAGTATATGCAGGATAAGTGGAGTGTAAAAATACAAAAATTAATTCCTTAATGCAATGTCGATATTACACTTTCATACCATCCCACTATCATTCCCCCATGGCCCGCTCCTCCCAAAATGTCAATGGTTGCCTTTATCCTTTTATGCCACTAGGTTCATTCCTGTGGCTTAATTGGATGGACTGGTAGATGAGGTCATAGGCTAAGGTGTCAAACCATGTTTTGCTTATGTTTACTTTCTGAGAAAACTTTCAAAACTCATTTCAAAGATGGATTACACTGAATTTTCTGTTGAGGTCAAGAAGTACTAAGATCTCTATGACTCTAGCAGTCCTTGACAAAAAAGATATGGTCTGGATTATCATTTCATCTGCTATCAGTGCACAGTGCGAGAATCAAATTTAATACATTGTGTGATGGCAAAATAATGGAATGAAATTTTTAACCATTAAATATTATCATCTGTTGCACATATGTACATATGAATTTGTTGTTTGGTTATATACAGTATTGCTGGTGTTCATTCTATAAACTTGACGTTGGGAAGCTCCTTTTACTGGGCAAAAGGCGATGGAATAGGATGCACTTTAGAAATAGAACTAGTTTAGAGTCAGGCATGTGGCATTTGAGCTGATCAGTCTTATTGTTGATTAAAGCACACTATTGGGATATAGGGGCATGATTAGGCTTAGAGTATGTTTAGGAGTACTTTATTGACCACATATTTCCTTTTTACTGTATGTGGACGATAAAGTGCTCCTAAACATACTAAAAACACTCATGCTGATGTATTACATGAAATTAAATAAATCCTGATATGTATTGTGGGGTCACGGGAGATGGACACCATCTTGGGCATGGTCAGGCTCCCATTCTTACCTTTCACTCCCCTTTTTAAGCTGTTTTGGGTTCCTTTTCTTCATCTTTACATGCACTCTCCTCCGGGAGTGGTGATCACACTGGCCCCCTCATCGGGGTAACAGGATACATGACTCCACATTCCGTTATTTCTGGGCCCTTTGCCTTCAGAGTCTCAGGTTCACCAAGTTCATCCTGTTGTCCTTACTGCTTGGAGCCTCCTGCTCCTACTCCATTAGGCCACTGTCTCATACACAACCAGTGCCTCGGACTCCCAGGTCCGCCTCCAGCCCTGACGTCCTCTCTTGACATCACCAGGTTGCATTACACAGTCACACACTACCGACATCCCCGAGTCTCTTCTGCACTACACACCATGCCGAGACCCAACGCACTATCCCTCTCTAACACACACTCACAACCTCTCTGGCGCCTCACTCTCACGCCCCTAGGTTGTGAACTTACAGCTCCCAGCGCACCTCACATCGTGCCCAGCCACCACTGCACTATCTCCCAGATGGTGTAGCTAGATAAACCGTGCTTGCTTCCCCAATGCCAATGTATTGCCAGAATGAGGGTCCCTCTACCACATAGCCCACTCTGGTCCACACAAACTAACTCACAACTCACTCATACAGTGGACACCGACAGCCCAGCTCTCACACCCTAGTAGGATGCTGCCCCTTTAAATCTTTCGGTGATCTCAAAGCTCCGTTTCTTCTATCTGTCTCCTCCCAGACTGACATTCTCACTCTTTTCCTCGCAGGCTATTCCTCTCCACAATCTCCTCTGGGAGTGTCGTTCTTTTTCACCCCCTCACGGGGTTACTACAGCAGCTAGTCAGCCTTTGTTCACTCATACACTGCGGCGGCACACTCTTCTAACATCGCCCTGTCTATTAGCATCTCACATCCGCTACTGTCATGCTTCGGCCCCGCTCTCTCACAGCGGAGCCTCCGCATTCGTCCTCTCGCAACTGCCTCTTTTTCCCTTCAGGAAGTATTCAGCCTAATTTTAAACCACTCCACGTTGCATACAAAGTAGTTTCCATTTTAAGGTGGGAGTAAGATGGACAATAATAAAAGTGTAATACAAAGTGCTTAAATTATATGTAAGGGATATTGCTCAGGTACATTTGGGCAATGGCTAAGGTTTGGGATTAGCCCTGAATAGTATATATTTTGGGAATAAAAGGGATGAGATTGCCTTAATTAAAGCCTGCCTTTAGCTAAAAGTTTTGTAACCCTAAACTCACCTAATCTTGCACCATAATGAAAACTTTACCCAACACTGATGTTTTGTTTGACTAACCAGATTAGTAACTATAATTCAATCTTTAAACAGAAGGCCAACCAAAACTAAATTAACTGTTGTTAATATTAATATAACACTGACCAAGATGAAATAGAGGAATGTTTTCAGAACTCTTAACTATTTCTAAAATATAATCATCTGCATTTTCCCTATACTTTTCTCTTTTCCATGAAGTGGGTGCTATTTAAGGACTTTGACATTTTTCCCAAGGCAAGATGAACAGATGGTGTTGCCTGTTGTTAACAGTTATTAAATTAATTGTTTTAAACTGCACCTTTCAGTTTGAGAAATACAGTATACATGTTAGGAGTTCTAAATATAAAGTTCATGGCTTTGAAAATGTAGAAAATGGTGCTATTATTAAATTGATATTTCTTTTTTAAAAACAGTTTTAGGAGTCGAGCTGTTGCAGTATGTTTTTCTAATGAAGTTTGAGTTGGATGATGGAACTGCTTCATTGGATGCAATTCTTTGGGAAGATGCTGTGAGTAAAACATTTTTTAGGCATTTTTATAGGGGACTGTAGAAACTGAATCGACTTTCACAGACAGAGCAAAATAATTAATCATATTGACTGGAAGTGGCAAACGAAAAAACATTCTTTTTAATTTCAGATTTACTCTAATGATCTCAGTCAGTTTGTAAAAATTCACACACTGAATTAGAAATAGAAATAATAAATTATATATGCAAATTTAAACTTTTTGTTTACCCAGGGCAAGTGTTGGATTCTGTGAAATCAATGTTCTTCTCAAAATCCTTCACCCTCACAGTTCTATAACCGCCTTATCTCAGACAGTTAACCTGTAATGGTCAAAAACATTCAGCCTTAAAATTATTCTTGTTAATCTTACACCAAAGATGTGTGACATTTAAGAGAGTGCTCTAGCACCACCTCTTAAACTACATAATCCACAAAGAGAGAGTGTTTGTAAAGTAAAAAAAAAGTCACAGTCATGTAGGAAACACAATATTTTCTTTGTGATTTTATAGGTCATAGGAAAAGTTGTGAAAAACTTTTCATGACTGTCGGTGACCCAAGGGGCTTCAAAAGTCAGTTTATTAAAGTGTTTACAATTTAACTAAATTCAGGTGATGCAAATTGATCTGTTTGTCCATAGCCTCTTCATCCTCTAGAGGCTTGCGGCTAGCCAGAGCCTGGGTGGGATACCATTCATGTACATTCATCTTTTATAGACCTGGTTTATAGACCTTTTATAGACCTACTGGCTTGTAGGATTAGAATTTTCAGAGCATGTGCATGGTAGGTTTAATTACTTTGAATAAAATACTTATAAAAAACTAGGATTTTTAGATATACCAAAAAACAAATGGCTGTGGGTGAAATATGTAAACTGTTTGGCATTGATGTTGTGCCGTTTTGGGTAGACTCACTGTCACCAAGTAGGCAACTACACAAGACTGTCCAGTAAGACATTGATGATCTGGATTCCATAACAGTTGGTATTCCAAATGTTTTGCATAAAAGGTGAAAATTTGCTTTTTATACAAAATATGGTTTTATTAAATATAAGATAAGTGGTTTATCCAATCATGAATTCTGTTACGTACTATTTATGACTGGTTTCTTATTTTTAAAGGAAAAGTTTTTTCAGATGCTTCCAGTTGAAGTAATGGTAAACAGAGCTATGCAAGAGAAAATGCAGATGACAATGGCTACACTTTGCCCACCAGGAAAACATTTTGGTAAGTAGTCTTTCCTATTTGTGGACTTATATGATTAACAGCTTTAAAATGTATAGGTAGTGTTTTCTGTTTAAAAGCAATTAAAATGAAATTAACTAATGAAATGAATTAAATTTCAGTGGATGCACTTTTCCTTTCTGGATATCCATCATTCAATTACAAAAGGGCAGAGGTACCATCTTTATATTTGAGGCTGCAGTGAGGGTTATGAAATTCTTAAGCCACATACAGATGATGTCAAATAAAGAAGATTTGTCAAATGAAGTGTGCCGAGCATATTTCTGTATGAAATCAGGTGATCAGAATAAATAACTATATAGTATATATGTATTGTATTAGGATGTATATATAAAAATTAATGAATGGGAGACCCTTCAGAATGATCTAATTCTTAATAAGTATATTCTCAATGATCTGGAATTTCAACAGTTTATATTTGTTTTCTAAGCAAAGACCTCAAGCTTTTATAGTTAGAGAAGGACTCCAAATGTCACAGTTTCTTAAAAGACATCAGTAAGCAGATTTTTTTTCACTAAAATGAGATGTCTTGAAACTTGTCCTTTATGACTAAAACCAACACGTGATTTTTCTTGATAGTTCCTTAGTAATATTGGTCAGATCTTGTTTTCCCTGTAGCAGATTTACATGGATTTTTGTCACTAAGTGTAGCTATTTTTTGTTTCTGTCATTTCCTGTTAATCCAATAATACATTCATAACACACTTTCCTTTTCATTTTACTGAGTAAGGTCATCAGACTTAATTTATCTATAATTTATCTTGTTGCTTTTATAAGTTTTAATACATTTCTTAATACACTCCCAGAAAAAAAAACATGCACTGTAGACCTGTTAGAAAAGATTAGTTTCATCACTTATTTAATCTACAAAACCATTCAGAAAGTGCTCTTCTGACCTATTGTGTCCATTTTTACAGTGCGTTTCCAGTGAATAAATTATACTAAAGGCTGTACAAGCAAGATTTGAGACTTGAACTTGAGGAATGAAACTGCACTGATAAATGTTTCAGGAAAATAAAGATAATGAAGTAAATGTATTATAACAGTATATGCTTCCTTTTTTCTTGTAGATGAACTCCCTTGGTTGGAGTTTTGTATCGGTACATACACCACTGATGAAAACGAAGACCGCAGTGTGTATTATCAGATATTTGACACTATGGTTGCAGAGAAGCTGTAGGACTCTCGTAGCATATTGCTAGAGATGATATACCGGACTGTTGGCCATTTTAATACTATTTTCAATGAGATTTTATATGGAATCAGTGTTTTGCAAGAAATGCCATATTTTACAAGAATGTTTTTTTATATATATTGTGATACTTTGAAATTCTGTATTTATCTTCCCGGAATAAAATGCAAAATAAATGTGAAGCACTTTTTTAATGTAAAAAGGCATGGATATGTACAATGTTTGTTATTTCTAAGTTACGTGCACAGTGTAATACAAACTTAAACAGTAAACTATGGCTATTTTAACCCTTCATCACTCTGACCCATTATTAGTAACCAAGAAAGAATCTCAGTTCCTTCCCATTAGTCAAGTAGCTAATGATGTCTTAAGTACTTTATTTGGCATAAGCACAAAATTTACTAAATCTGTTCCTACACAGGTCAAAGGCAGTTCTATCCTGTTGCCATGCCTGTCATTTTCTGCCGCTGGTATCTCCAGCTGAAGATTTTAAGAGCAGCTGGGTTGTACCTTGGTAATGGAAGTCATTTAGAAATGATTGATTTTTATAATGGGATTATAGGCATTGTACAATGAGTGTGCATTTGAGCAAGGGATCATTAACCACAGCTGTAATCTGAATTTAGACCTATTTTGCCACCTAGTGGTTTGCTCTGTACAAATCACCCAATAATGCAAAAAATAGTAAAAAAAACACATGCTGCATATCCTACAAAGACAGCAAATACTATACATAATATTATACTGTTTTAAAATTATTATTATGGCCTTCCATCTGAATAGAGGTTTCAATTATACATTTATTTTTTCCCATTCCTGATTCCATTGACATGAGTTATCTTATCTTTTTCAACAGGAGATTCAATATTTACTGGCAAACTGCCAAGGTAGATCAAATTCAGTTTCACAAACTACCTACAGGCTAGATTATACAGACTGCAGAGTAGGCATTACATTAATCTTATTGGATAGATTTGTACAACTTCCAAAGTCTCTTTTGTTCCGTCACATGTTTTCAGTTTTTGCATTTTCCTTCAATAAGTTCAAAACTGAATTCACCAAACACTGTTTTTACACCAATGTATCATAGGCAATTTTTGACACATTATGATTCATGTAAAGGTACCTTGCAAAAAAGAAAGCTCTAACAGGTGGTTTTTCATATTAGAAATCTGAATGTATTCATCTGAAAGCATGAACCTGCTTGTTCATTTTGTTTTCATCACATTTTCCTGTGCAGGTAGTTCGATTGCCTTGTTGTTTTTTTAAATTAAATTAAAGAACTTGAGAGAGGTTAAAGCAAGTTAAGGTGTTTCATTTTTTCTTGTTCACATTGGATTTTATCATGCTGTACTTATTTAAAACAACAATTTACTCTTGGTTGCTAACATATCATTGCAACAACTGTTATTTCATCACTTGAAAGTCTAATGGTGCAGTTTATTATTATGGTTGTAGTTAATTTCCTGAGGAATGCAAATTGATATTCCACGTTAAAAGAATAATGTTCTGTAATGTTTGGTAGTGTAAGTATACTGTATTTGATAGTTGTTATAGCACATGATAAAAGTGGCAGACACAGCCATGTCAGTACTGACAAATCAATATTTACATTTCAGAGAAATTGTACTAGATGATTGTTCAAGAAGGTTGCATCTTCGCCACGATAGCTGAAATCACCTACAGCACATTTGATTAAATCCAAATTAGCTTGGGGTGCAAAGATGTGAAACACAACATGTAGAAAGGTTGTTGGATCATGAAAGCTCCCCTACTATTCTTGCTAAGGACACAATAAATAATTTTGTAAGTACTGATAATTTTATTAGGTTTACCTTATGTTGTGGAAACTGCCACTGTCATGATGTAATCTTCTACATGTTTTAAGTGCAACAGCATAAAACCAGCTCTAGAAAATTAAATTTTGCTTTAAGCCTTTCATTTTTAATTTCTAATTTGGTAGTATGTGACTGTAAAATAATTTTCTTACTATTTACTGTAAATCAGTAGCCTACTATTTTATTCTATTACTACTTGGTATCCTTGTACTTATTCCATATGTCCTTTTTTTTGTTCCAGAACTTTTACTGACTGGGTGACAAATTTGTCCATTTCATAAAATGACAACTGTGCTGTTATTGTATTTATACTAATGGTGCATATTTTTCATGAAAGAAATGACAGAGACCTCCTTTTACAGCTGTTTAAACAGTTGAATGTAAATAATTGTACATATACAGTATAATTAACATGATATAATGTTAAATAATACATCTTCATTCTATCTCAAGGGTCGTTTTGGAAGGAGTCGCAACTGATTAATCATGATTGGTGTAATTAAATTACTTGATTTTTTTTTCTTATTAGGAATTAATGTTGAATATAACAGTATGAAACTGATCCTTATTGATTTTACTTGTAAAAGCTGAATACTGTAAAGTAACTAAGCTACATAGTAACTTCATGATGTACTTTACATCAGAAATCCTTTCTTTTTTTTTTCTTTACAAAGGGAGAAATTTGACTTGGATTATGATCGATTTAAAATATTCTAACATTGTCAAGATAAACAGAATTACTTTATTTCATTTTTATATGAAGAAAATTCCACCAACTGATAATATTTCATCTTCCTGATTAAGCACTAAATTTAAATAAAATCAAATCTATCTGTTATTATTGTAGTAGTGACAGTGAATAACTACACCCATTGGCAACAAGAAAGATTTAATTCATTTTACTGTCAAGCCTGACCTGTATAATCTTTGTCAATTAGTCTAGGGACTTTCATTGCCAAATTGTCAGAATTGTGCGTAAACATGACAGCCGTTGTTTTCAAGACTGCATTTTTTATTTTATCCTGTTTTCTTCTGCGTCAACATTAATGCTATCAGAAGTGTTTTGAACAGATTAACATTGATTTCAGATACTTTTTGCATATAATGAGTGATGAGGTGCCAACCACAATAAATACAGAATTATCATAAAGCAATTGGGATATAAGGGGCATGAAAGTCATGTAACTAGCCTTTTGTGACACATCAGCTAATTTTTAATATTTGCTGCAAGGATTTTAAATAAACATATGAAAGATTACAAAAGAGAGAGGTCTTGAGCCCATCTAGCTTGTTTGGTAGCTAATAGGATCTCATCCAGCTGCTTCTTAAAAGCATCAGCTTTGACAATATAGCTTGTTCCAAATTCACACTACCATTGACGTAATATGGTGATTCCTGCTCTGTTCCTAATATGCTTCCCATTGTAAAAATAATTTTAAAAAATGCATAACATCCAGTTAGAAACTAATGTCAAAAAGAAAACTAGTGTATATATCTGACTGGTCTCAAGTTAACCATTTACTATACAATACATATGTTGTCTGTCTCTATAAAACAGTGAATTTTTGGAAGGTAGAACACAAACTAGGTATCACCCTTATGAAAGCACTTAAGCAAGGGGTTTGTCTGTCTGTTACGGATGAAACGCAATTAGACTTGCCTCCACTTTAAGGTTTTATTGCATGAAAGCACTGTCTTATTATTAATCACAGTGATGTGTAGTTCTGTGTTCTCTAACCTTTCTGCTGCCAACAGGGGAGGATTCTTAATGCTGCTCTGTTAGCACTTCATCACTTCATTGGGCAGCTGTGAGTGACATATGCAAGCAGGGGGCAACATTCTCTTGCTTTTAAGATCTGAAAGCTCTCGGTAGCTTTTTAGGAAGGTTATTTTTGAAGTGCATCAGAAATGTAATTGATTGAAGCTTCACACTGCTGCAGTTCACAACAAGAGATGACATGGCAAATTAGACTGCTGCCGTTTGACTTTCTCATATTATTTGAATGCAATTCAATACAGATAAACTGTCAGTGATAAAGCTTTTATTTTATTTTTTATTAAATCTTTGCTTTTAAAATCCTCACTTAGATAGCTGACAAAATGTATAGCCTTTATGAAAAATTTCTTTTTAAATACTGTATATAGTTTGATGAGCCGCATGCCTTGGCTGCAAAAGAGCAAGTAAGCTTTAATTCCATGCTAAAATTATAAAGAAACATTTCTGCTGTTAAGCCTTCTTCAAGTGTGTGACACCTAATGAAGACTCCACATTTAAATATATGCAGTATTTTCATTTTTGTTATGATAGACCTGATAAGTAACATTTATGAATTATGAAAAAACAATCGAAGAGGGTTTATATAATAGATAAGTTTTTCTAACACATAAAAGAATCAATTTGAAAAGCTTTCTTTACTAGTAGGTAAATATGCTGTATAATATTTTGAGAATAAAAATGAGTACCTTTAATTTTCCAAAATATTTTAAAACCTATCCTTCATGCTTTTCATTTATTTTTAATCGGTCCAAGTGTTAATTATGAGTTGGACATTGATTGTATATTTGTAACTATGTAGATGCACTGCATATATATATAGTATTTAACCTACATACTGTATGTACAGTTACAAAGAAATGAATGGTGTCAGTGGGTCTAGGTCTAGGAGCTGTATAGGGACTAGGAATCCAATCTTCAAATTGAGGGAGACTGTGCTCCAAGCAGATGAAGCTTTTCCAAGAACCAGGTTGGCATTGAAGTTTTCCTAAATTTTTGAAAATCATGTTAGAAAAATAGAAGTCATATTGGCTCAAATAGTGGAGACAATCATTCTGAGGACAGATTGTGATCATTTGTCCACACAGTACAGGTTTAGATCTGGGTGATGTGGGACTGAAATGTGTGATATCTTGACTGTGACTGAATTTGCAAAAGCTATGATTTATTTGCCAAATAGGACCAATTTCTGGATTTTCTGTCTAAATTCCCATTTAATTTAATTTCACATCTTAAGGTACTGATGCATTAACATATTATGAATAAAACATTAAATAAAGAACATAAAAACATATAGGCACAACAGGTATAAAATGTGCACTACCTGCTGTGACATATGAATAAGGGAGATCATGGGGTGCATTTTTACATGGGCAAGCAATTAGTTTTGTTTTCCATCATGTTTTATTTTGTTGTAGAAGTAAATCATATTTTGTGAAAGTCAAAGATAGGGTAATAAATATTCAAAACTAGTTGGTGCAGAATGATCCTTTTATAGGAGGGAATTCAACATCATTGAGCATTTAATGGATCATCAAAGCTGAATAACAGTTAAATCCTTAGTAAGGTATTTTTGCAAGCAGCTTTTCTGCATTAAGTACTGTATTGACTTTTTCTTAACTGAAGTAATTTTGGAGTGAATATTTGTTGCGAAAAACTGAGGATTTCTGTTTTAGGAAAGACAATTTTGACAATGTGAACTATATTAATACTGTATTTTGTATTTTGATTTCTCCATGCTTACAGATGTTAATTCAGCTAAACCAGTGGTTCTCAAACTTTATGGACCAAGTACCACCCCTGATCAAACCAAAGCATCAGAGTACCACCTACAAGTCACCTTCTCATAGGAATCCCAGAAAAGCTCAATGGCCAACATGAGCACATGTGCACACACCACACTGACACACACACACATGATAAAAATAACACTGAGCACTTAGATCATTTGAATCGTACAGCCTTGTAGCCATTTTCCAATGCTTGCTAACACTAGCAGTGCTGTCTGTGTCAGGTTCAGCAGCAGAGCTAGTTTCGGTGGCCGTCTGGCCGATGTATAATTCTTCTCGGGTGTGCGTGATCTATCGGAGCTGGCTTCAGTACTCTTGGCATCTGTTCCTTTCAGCCATGACGTAACACATGATTTTTGCTAGGTATTCATTTTCGATCAGTTGTTCGCTTGGCGAATGTGGTGCTAAGATGTGTCAGTGGATGCTCATGAGGTGTTCGAACACTCATGTATTAGGGCACGCTACATCTACTTAGCTATGTATGTAGACTGCATATTTCACACAAACTAGTTTTATTAAAATAGTAAATATGAAAACCCGTCTCAAGCTTTCTGAAACCGATTAAGTAAATCACAGATTAAAATTTACATAATTTTTAATTCCCAATTTTTCAGTGCCACCTGGGGGTGCCACTGATGGTACACGTACCACAATTTGAGAACCACTGAGCTAAGCAATATACTAATGAAGAAGGTGTAATATTTTCATATCTTTGTTTCACTGTCATTTTAACACAGGTATCTATACAAAGGGCACTATTCATAAATCTGTTATGGTCATGCTAACATTTCCCTTTAACAAAACAAAGTGCACTGATATTTTCTTAAACAGACACGAGCTGATAAACATTTGTAGTCAACGAAGATCCTACTGGGAAAGTCACAGG